TTGGGCAGGAGTGTCAATCTGCTGGAGGGTAGGAGGGCTCTGCAGAGGAACCTGAACAGTCTGGATCGATGGGCTGACGCCACTTGTATGAGGTTCAACAAGACCGAGTGCTGGGTCCTGCACTTGGGTCACAACAACCCCATGCAACGCTACAGGCTTGGGGAAGAGTGGCTGGAAAGCTGCCCGGCAGAAAAGGACCTGGGGGTACTGGTCAACAACCAGCTGAATATGAGCCAGCTGTGTGCCCAGGTGGCCAAAAAGGCCAATGGCATCCTGGCTTGATAGCAAAGGAGTAGTGTGGCCAGCAGGAGCAGGGAAGTGATAGTGCCCCTGTACTCGGCACTGGTGAGGCAGCACCTCAAATCCTGTGTTCAGTTTTGGGCCCCTCACTACAAGAAGGACATCGTATTGCTGGAGTGTGTCCAGGAAAGGGCAACAAAGCTGGTGAGGGGTCTGGAGCACAAGTCTGATGAGGAGTGGCTGAGGGAACTGGGGTTGTTCAGCCTGGAGAAAAGGAGGCTGAGGGGAGACCTTATCGCCCTCTACAACTGCCTGACAGGAGGCTGTAGTGAGGTGGGGGTTGGTCTCTTCTCCCTGGTAACGGGCGATAGGACGAGGGCAAATGGCCTCAAGTTGGACCAGGGGAGGTTTTGATTGGATATTAGGAAAAATTTCTTTACTGAAAGAGTGGTTAACATTGGAACAGGCTGCCCAGAGAGGTGGTGGAGTCACCATCCCTGGAGGTCTTCGAAAAATGTGTAGATGTGGCACTTCAGGAAATGGTTTAATAGGCATGGTAGTGTTGGGCTGACAGTTGAACTTGATGATCTTGGAGGTCTTTTCCAACCTTAATGATTCTATGGTTCTATTCATTTTGAAAAAAGTATTTTTTTTAAGAAAGCAAAAGCAAAAGCAACCAAAAGAATTAATGAGCTACACTACAACAAAAAGTAAAGTCTACTAGTGTCTACATAGCACTTATCAACAGAAGGCAAGATACAAAAAAACCAAAAACCTTCAACTCACTTCATTTCCCCAGTTTCTTTTCACATAGTTTTCATGAACACTTTAAAGGACTGTTAATTTGTCTCAGAGTCAGATAAAACCTGAAATTGCTAACACAAGATAAAAAGTCTAAGTATAGAGGTTACCATTAAAAATAATAAAATTTGCTACTGCTGCTACCACATAATGAGACAAAGTGTGTCACCAGATATGCACATGTCACTTAGGAATCAAAACTCCCTGAATAAATAATAATCTTTTAATAAGTGACAGACCAGATTTGGGTCTCATGATTACAGTGAACAGGGCTTTACGAGTGCAACACGTGGGAAGCCTTGATAAAAGTTAATGCTTCTGTAAGAGATGATTTTCTCAATCTTGTTAGGAAAGTCGCCTTCTGTTAAAGCCTATACTTAGAGAAGTATAGGGCTTCAAAAGTATAATAAAACTTTTGATTTTTTTTAACAGAACTCTACTCTGTAACTCCAAATTTCCTGATTCATTGTGTTTATCTAGAGATAACTATGGTATTAAAGCCAAAAAGACCAGACATAAGAGCCAGAAGTAGTATTCCAGTGAAGAGATAAGAATTCCAGAAAACACATACAACAGAGGTTAGACCTAGGTGTTAAAGAAATAATATACATATATTAAAAACGTATACTAAAAACCATCCTTGTTTTCTCCAATGAAGTTTTCTGCTCTGTAAAAGTGTCCACTCAACTGCCTGAATTGTTTTTTATATACCATGAATACTGAAAAAATAAATTACTGTCCAGGAAAGTACGTATATTTATACACATAAATACACACTTTAAAATAAATATATAAAACAAAAAAGCAAAGTATTTTTACACTTCATATAATTTCCTTAATTTCTATTATATCCTGTATGTTATCAGAGTCTCACTGGATTATGCACATCAGTTCAGATATTAATAATCCTGGCTTCTTCTGGACTTGCTCACATTTGTAAAAGGTGGTTCCTTAGGGAAACAGCTGAGGGAGACTAAGATCATTGTTCCATTTTCCATTTAAATCCTATCTCAGTCAGCCTATAAAAATTAGATTCCATACTGATCAGAAACTTCTAAACGAGTGATCCTTCACTCACACTCCACTTCCTGCTGTCTGCATCCCAAATATAGAAACAAACACTTGTACTGCCCCTATTTACATCACAGTAGCTGCATAAAAAAGAACTTTAAATCTGTCTGTAGCCCACATTGTTCTGCAAATCCATAGCTGAGGATAGAAAAAGAAGGATACACTTCATTAGAAAACAGATTTTGTTTGTTTCTTTGGACAGCAAAACCTTAATGCAGCCAGGGACATAAAGTGCTGGAATTGGTCCCAATGAAGACAAATTAGAAAGCTGAAAGCAAAGAAGATTGTCTACAAGGTATCTTAAATTGCATTCAATACATTGCATTGCTTTGTGCAATGTAAATCTCACTACTGTGGATATGAGGTATGCATTAATATTATTTGAATACACAGGATTGCAAAGAAGCCTTTTTAAAAACAACCGAGCAATGAAGATATATAAAACGAATGGATCTTCCCACAATGTTTTATTTACAATACTTTCCTCTATTCCTGCTCATCTTTCCACTGTAGAAGATATGATTGCATGGATAAAGTTTCATAATGACAGCTTAATTCAACTCCTAAAGCCACACAAGTTATAAACCCAACTCTTATATTCACATTTTAGAGGATAAAGCAACACAATTTTTAAATTTAAGGCAGAGCAAGCCAGAAAAGACAAGCCACCTCAGGCTATAACATACGAACCTAGACAAAAAGCATCACTAAGTTAATACCATGCATAAAAACCAAAGTTACTAACAAGGCAGCAATACATTCAGAAAAAACAGTCCACTTCATTAGCTTGATACTATTATGCCAAGCTTATTCCATCAAGCAAAATGTTTAGTTTTGTTTGGTGGTTTTTTTGTTCTTAAATCTGAAGCATGCCCAACTTTCTAAATAAAGTTTCTGCAATCAGATGTCAGATACCAATAGTTGATTTCACTACTCTGACAGTGCTGAGCTTCTCCTCTTACCCCGCTATCTCCAGCAGGGACAGCCTTGGAAACGGTTTTCTATTCATCAGTCCAGCAAGTACAGTTCAGACAGTGGAAACAGGTTCCATTACATTAAATCACCAATATACTTCATCCTGATTTTCCGCTAGGATGAGTCTTTTGCAAGCAAAGACAAGCTTGATCTGACTGTGTTCCATGTCAACTACACATGAGCCCATTCTCAATTGGAGAATGACCTGTTGCGTCATTTAGCTTCTTCACATCCAAGCTTGTAAGATTTCCTCTGAGTTTAACATACCTCCTTAGCTTTCGATACAGGGCAGGTTTTCATCTGGTGATGTTGACATGTGTCCCTTTGTCTGCAAAAAGCTGTGTAAATGCATTATAGCTGACCTTTGTCTCAAAGCCCATCTGAAATTTGGTGGTCTTGTTACCAAATGGATGATTCAAAGCAATAATCATAGAACTACAGAATGGTTTGGGTCGGAAGGGACCTTCAAAGATCACCCAGTCCTGCCACAGGCAGGGACATCTTTCACTAGATAAGGTTGCTCAAAGCCCCATCCAACCTGGCCTTGAACGCTGCCAGAGAGGCGGCATCCACAACTTCTCTGGGCAACCTGTTCTAGTATCTTGCCACCCTTACAGTAAAGAATTTCTTCCTAATATCTCATCTAAATCCACCCTCCTTCAGTTTAAAATTGTTACCCCTCATCCTATCACTAAAGCACAAACGTGTTCTCCAAGGGTTCAAGAGATAGCAGCAACGTGCTTGATAATTGGCCAGAAAACGACTACAAGTACCAGTGATTTTTATCAATGCCACCTGTACTATATCTAGTTCAATGACTTGAGAGAATGAAATGAGTTTCAATTATACTCATTTAAAACCAGGTATTTTAGATAAAATATCAGAATGGAGAATTTAGACCAAGCCTTTATTGCCAAGGCTACTGCTCAAAATTTTTACTGCTATTTTATTCTAAAAGCAAAATACAACACAACTGTATGTGTATTATTTATTAGATTTATTGTACTGAAGACGGTAGGAAATACTCTTATTTCTTCAGTACTTGAATTAATTGTTATTGCCTTTTTTGGACCTTTAGGAAAAAAAAAAAAAAAAAAAGCAGGACACTCATTTTATTTGCTCTATTAACTCCCAAAGTGTCAGATTCAGTAAAAACTTGATATTCCACCGTGCAGAAATACCCCCCAAACTCTGGTTTTAAGGCCTTTAAAGATCAAAAAGATGGATAGGGCTTTTAAAGAATCTCTCCCCCCCCCCCCCCTTTTTTTTTTTTTAACATTCTCTTATTTTTCATTCTAGTTAAAAACATATCTAATATGACAAATTATTGTCCTATACCCAAAGCATCTGGAGCACACACATTCACCTGCACTTAGTAGTCATGTCTGCTGTGCACAAACAAGAAACCGCAGCTTATGAATGAGAACAGACACTTCATTTGTCTTTAGGAATTCACCTCTGAAGTATGTTCATTCATTGACATACCAGACATGGAAGAACTGACCTGGTACTTTACCTAAAATTAGTTAACAGTTTATTAAAGTCAGTCACCCATATATTCATATATCCATAGAATCTTTCCCTTCCTTTACCTGCCCCAGGAAAAAAGAAAAAAAGTATCTATTCCCATTCTGGTTGTTACATAAGTAATTTGGAAAAAAAGTCTGACATTCCATTATTTTAATTACTTCCATCTAGAGAAAAATAAAATAGTGCAATGTCCAAGATGTGAGTGGGCTAAAACTCCACAGCAATACCTTGCTTCTGTAACATCCACTTCCCCAGACTGTTAATTTTGCACCCTTGTATGTCTTTAACAGGACGATAAATGCTTTTTAAGCAGTAGCCAGGACTTCAAGAATCCTGGATTGTTTAAGACTCACCAAAATAAATAAGAGCCCAGCCCTACCTACCTTAGATATTTCTGGCTCCACTTGCTGTCTCTTGGGTGTCTCTTTTGACTCTGGCCCTTTTGGAGTACTAGTGTTCTTAACAGAAGGCGATTCAACTCCTTCACCTTCAAGTTGCAGATTAATACCCTCTGTGGGGACAGGGTGATCAATACCATTTGGATTCAGATTGCAATGGATAGCTGGGGAAAAAATATGAGACAGAGAAAACACTGCTTAGGAAAGAAGAACCCAACGTTACAAACATTTATCACAAAGTACGAAGAAGTGTCATGTGGTAACCAGAGCTATGTCAGATCACAGCAAAGGAACTGTCTGTAACATGACATGGATTCAGGGCGAGATATTCGAGGAAGAAAATCAGTGGTAATGCAGCACTGTATAAGGCTTTTTAGTGTTGAACTGTGCTCTACCGGATTCTCTACTGCATCCAAGACCCTCAGCTTACAGCTTTCACTAGGGTACGACAATATATCCCATGTATTCATCATTCGGCCATACCTTTTTTTCTTTTCTAGGCAAGCAAGTTAAAGTCTTCTATTACATTTTCAATTACTACAACATTCTAGGTCCTAAACAATGGGAAAAGTAAGCTGTGCACAGCAAGTCAGCAAGCTGGTCTCTGCAGAGAGTAATGACTTACCCAGTTGATTATCTCTCCTTCAGCACTTTGTACCACTGCAAATTACCACCTACACCATCCTAACAAGAGGGATGTACTTTCTAGGAGCATATAATGAGGTGGGGACTAATGATAGCAGAATAAGGAAAGCAGCTGGTGGAAAAAATAAAACAAATGCAAACCATACCACAGAAATGCACGTTTAGAACTGTGGCAGTAGTTTAATCATTTTCTGCCCGAAATTTCACAGTTCCAGCACTCACACAGAGACCAGCCTTAACAACCTTCTTGGCACATGTAGTGCTTTTAAAATATGTGGATCCTAACACAAATTCCCCTTCACGCGAGTATCCAATTTTTGCATTCATGTTCTTGGGTAACTGCGCTACTTTTAGCACTACTCATAATTAATGGTCCCAACTTCCCCTGTACACAGAAGAACTTTGCTCAGATACTGTGGTGAAATGTTTGACAGACCTGAATAGAAACCCAAAACACAATGTAAAGCCAAAATAAAAGCTGCCCTTTTACTCTTGCTTGGCTTAGAAGCAAAGGGTGGGGAGCAGAGGAAGGAATGAGAACTGCAGTTTCTCCCAGCTACAGATCAGCCCTTGAAAGCCTCTCACAGGAAACAGGCTCAAGCAGCTGGAGAAGGCAAAGGGTCCTTCAACTACAGCACCTTTTGAAAATCCATTTCTCTGAGATCCCAGAGTCTTAACTGAAAACTTTGAGCCTAAATTACAGCGATTCCTTGGTGCAGAATTAAAGCAAAGGCCAAGAATTTGGCCTTTTCTCCTCTGGATTTTTTAAAAACATCCAAATATTTGTAAAAGATAAGTAAGTGAGCTGTCCAAGTATTACAACACCTGTATCTGCAAGCTAGGGCTGGAAACATCTTCTATCTTCAAGTCAAAGGAACATTATGAAGGATAATTCATTAACACCACTGAGTGACGGAAAGCAGTAAAGAATTGAAACACATTTTATTACAAATTGCAGCCACTTTGTATAGAATCATAGAAAAATATGTCACTGGTGCACAGAAACTTAGTAAATGAAACTAAAAGTGTGAAGGGAACTAAATTTCATTCTCACGGTGAGTAGCTCTAGGGAATTAGTTCTGGACTTCTTTTTACAAGTATGTAAAAGAGATAGAGATCCCTCTCCAAACAGTCAATTCTTCAGAAGACAGCACGAGACGAAGAGGAGGAAGAATCACTAGACTACATCATGTCCAGAGCTGAGCCCTGCAGAGACCTTCTGGGGAAGGAAACAGAAGAGGTGAACGGTGCAGAGCTTCTGGAGGTGATGCAGGGTTTCTGCTGGCTACCCTGGGGACCACCACAAGAAAAGGATTTCCAGCTAAAAATCTTCTCAAAAGGGATCCTCTATCTGCTTAGGCCTTGCATAGAGAGTTTTGGTTTTGTTTTAAAAGCACTGGAAACCCTCTGGCAAGTTTTTCAGGAACTCCTGGGTTTCCCCTTCAGGCACCAATTTCTCAAAAACAAGAGCATTTTTTATTTTAATAGGGGAAAAAAGCACATAAGGAAAAGGCGTCTGCAGCAGTCTGTGCAGTTGTTGTTCTTACCTGTCATCTTTCCATCTCATTTTAGTAGGGCAGGCGTCTGAAATTTCTTCCAGATACCTAGAGACCTGCTACAGAGCTTCATTTCCCAAACCAACTTTAAGGAGCTCTTCCCTAAGTCTAGCTGCAGCTCATCCACTTGCAAGTCTCCTTCTTCCCTGGTTCAAACCAATTTTGTAGGTTGGCCGAGTGCAATGCAAACCCACATCCCATTGTTCTGGCATTGCCTCTCACTGGTGAGGAGGGAAAAATAGATGACTCTGTTCAAGTCACTCGTTTCCTCCTACTGGTTTTCCTAGCCACACCCCTGAGCCAATCCACAACATAAATACTTAAATCTTAATAATGTTAGTAGAGGCGTTTCCCAACTTTTGAATCCTTTATTTCTAGGTACCCCTTCCCAGATTTTGGTTTTGTCATGGCTACAAGACCACAATGGAACTGAACTTGAACACAACTGCTGCTTGATTTTTTTTCCTTTGCAAGACATCTTTCTGTGTCAGAGAAAATGCAAAATCCTTTTTACTTCTTCCATGAAGCAGGCTTCACCTGCTCCAGCTGTGTGGCCATTATGGGGAGGTATCCAGAGCCTGCCAAGCTGTTATGATGAAGGCAGTCTTTGGTGCTTTTAAGCTCCCATGGGAAGTTTCAAAGAGATACTATTTTGTGGTTTATATTTACATCAGTGTGTCCTCAGACACAAAAAAAATCTCTCTCCTAGATCATATCCACCTATCATTACCTATCTCCTCTAGAGTATATTCACCTACTTGAAAGAAACAAGTAATTACTAATGACTAGTTTGCTTATCTTCCAGACCACAGAAAAGATGGATGTGATCCACCAAGACAGACTTTTTTTGCAGCCCAGTGAGGATGGAAACTGTTCTTTTAGTAGCCAGACTAATTCCCTCCTTCACAAAAAATAGGAGATATCCTAACCAACATGTAAAAGTACTCCCAGCACACCCTACTCCAGCAAGGGCTGGAAATTAGCAGTGAAAGACACTTGGTATGGAATGCAGTCCATAAAAATCTCTCCAATTGTTTTCTGCAAGGATCTTATCTAGTTGAATAGGAAGACTCCTGCATACACCTTTGAAATGCTAACACACCTCAGCAGCATCCAGAAACAGGCAGTTTGGGCTGTCAGCCCCCTTTCAGTGCTCCCTAGAGAGAAATCACAAAGCACAGTGGGACTTAACATCACCTGGAAGAACACTGCCAGGAGCAAGCTTCCTATGGATTAGAGCTCCTCGGTTCCCAGTGCCCCCAGACAATACAGATTAGGGAGGAGGGTGGTAAGGGATGGACAAGGAAAGCCTTCTGGGTTACAGCATTGATTTACCCTGCATTACAGGGAGCAAATGGTCCAGATTTCTGATAACATGGTAGCATAAGCACCACCTGGATGGCTTAAAAAAAGAAATAAATCCCATGGCAAGATACTGCTTGACTCTCAGCCCATGATTCTTTCAAGAGTGATGAATGTTAGTGCTGTTTCAGCAATGCTTTATATTGGGCTCCTTCAGGATACAAAAGAGAAAAAAAATGGGGAGGCTGCTAGTGATTACACACATGCCTGTTACCTTTTTATTGAAAAGAGGTGATCGGTTAAAGGAAACACAGGCTGCCTCAGGGAAGACTTTTCCAAAGTTGCTGATATTGGAGGGGGTGGGAAGGAAGACAAGTTTTTTTATTTCCTAGGGGTAAAGGGAGAAGGAAAGAGTTCACCTCTCTCCTTCAACCCCATTACAGTCTTGGCTTAACATACACCTGGACTGAATATGTTCCTTAAGGAAGACACATCTAGAACAAGAGCCTCAGCACAGGGAGAAGGCAGACTGAAGGGCAGGAGGGAAAAAACCAGATGTGAGCATAGGTATCTGTCACTTGGCAAAGTTACTCTCTGTCATGAGCCATTTTCAGGTGCCCAGCTCTGTTGTTTTTTCCTAGTGCTGCCTCCAACTCTCAGCTACACAGAGGGTAAGAAGGAAAGAATATTTGCTTGTACGGGTCTGTTATTTCCTGTTACCGCACAGAAATACATATTTCCATCTCTGTGGCAGACAGAGGTGGAGCTCTTGCCTCCTTTTAAATGCCAATACAAACCATAATTGCTCCCTTTCAAGATTTGTTAAAAGCAGGGAAAGGAGTCAAGGTTTGGTCAACAACAACATATTCTCTTCTTAAATCATCACCTTATATAATTTTAGCTAGATAAGACCAGTTCTAAACTCAGGATCGACTATGCAAAACTAAAGGGGCTGGGGAGCTGACAGCACCCAGGGTTAATATCCTGTAGAACTGAGCAGCACTTGCAGAAGAATCACAAACGACCAACTTTATCCAACCCAACTGCTCTGACCCTCTTAGCTGACTCTTCTTGAATCTCTTTCAGGACTTAATTGCATTCGTCTGGAAAAGATTCTAGCTACAAAGTAGTTTTTTGGTAAAATACTTGTCCAGGCTCCTACTTCTCATTACCCTGGTATTAGCTAACACTAGCTCACCCGATCCTCTGCATTCAGACCATTTTCCCACACCACTGTTTTGACAATATCCCCTACTGTCTCAGCACCTCTTCACTCTACCAAATTAAGTCCACCTCATCATTCCCAGACTTTAAAGTCCATCAAGACACCAAACCCTACCTCCAAATCAGCTGATAGTATCAGCCTAACAGCACTAGATATCAGCAGTATCGTTAGATTTTGAAACAGAAGCTCTTCCAATATTCTTCCCTGCAAGCTCATTATTCATATATCATCCACATGTCTCAGTAATACAACTCTTCGTCCACTTTCAGAGCACTTAAATTCTCCTTTGCCTGCTGAAATCCCCACCCAACAGCTGATTAATGCCGTGTGTCTCTTCATGCTTCCCAACAATTGTCACTTAACTTGGATTGAAAGCTTTCTGTGGTAGGAACTTGCTTTGTTTTTGGGAGGGAGGGTGGATGTTCTGTACCACTCCAACTGCACAGCAACAACTACATGACGAATGGTGCTGGCAGACACAATAACACAGATCCACAGATTACATTTACGAAACAAACTATTATTTAAAACAAAGGTACTTAAGTGCTCTTGTACTCTTAGCTCAATGGCAGAGCTGAATCTACAGGAAAATATCCACTTTTCCAGAACTTTAAAGACTGCTGAGATCTGCCAAATTACGAGAGTCAAAATCTCTGAGAAAATAGTAAGTGGAACACCCAAAATGGAAAAAAGACCGCATCTGTCCTAAAAAAACAGGGAAGGAACAAAATTAACGAAATCCACAGTGTATTTTTTCCACATGCTAGAAGACAAATCCAAGTCCTTTCCATGTATACAGAGCAAGAGAATTTGTTGCCCTGCAGAAGCTGGTGTGAGCCGAGCTCTGTGCCCATGCAGATCCCTCACGGCACGCGTATGCAGCTTGAAAGGAGAGCTCGCGGGGCAATGGGAATGCTCTGCTCCCCTCGCTACCTCCCTCCCGTACACGCCTGCCTCCCAGATGGCAAGGAGCCCAGAGACAGCTTGTCTGAGCATGCTTGATGGTACACAAAAGTTGCCAAGAGCCATAGTAAGTTGCTGGCATCTGGGGGCAAGCCTTGCGTTTTACGAGGGGGTACTCTGTGAATCCCATCTTGAGAAAAGCCTGAAGGTGCTCTTCAAAACACAGCCTTGATATATCCAAAGTTTTGCATGGCCAGATGGAAAGTCTTCATCTCTCCATCTGCAGGCTCAAGGCTCAGCAGATCAATAGCTACCTCTGCGCTCTCTACTGCCTACACTGTCAAACGTTTCATAACTACTTGTTTCAGTGGGAATACTGCTGGCTGCTTAAAATTTTAAGCAGATCAATTAAGGCTACATTAAAGCATATTTGGCAAGTAGTTGAGTTACATGCAATAACAATTGCTCTATTCTGAAAAGCAATCAAGTAAAAATAGCATCTTCTTACTCATCTGCCCTGTACTGTGTGCATCACAGTCATATGCTAGCTTTTGCTATTCAGAGACAAAAAGCAGGCACAGGAGATACCCATCCAGCCTCTAACAATCCTGAGAAAACTTTCATGTGTCAAATACTGGCAAACATGCAAGTTCCATTTTGTGTACCGATGCCACATACTTAGCTGCACAATGCTAAAAGGTAAGTCCATACAATCCACCTGCTACTCCCACCATAAAATGCCACGTTGTTGAAAAAGACAGCTGGAACATTAACAAACAGACTGGATATAGCAGGGACCATATAAAAAGGATCCAAACAACTTTTCAGTCAAGGCTTCATGAAGGTCATGAAGCTTTAACAGGTATTTCCAGGAAAGGAGCTCCCACAAGACCTTTGGACAGCACTGGACTTATTCCTTCCACCTCTGCCCAGTTCTTTATCAAAAGCAAATCAAATCTCCAACTCCATCAAATCCTGCAGTCAGCGCTTTCAGCCAGACTTCTATACACCTCCAGATGCTGCATTTCAATGCCAAGTAGTCAAACAACATCCCTAGGGCTTTCTGCTTGCCATCATTCACAACTCGCTTTAACTAGGTTGATCAGAGAGGAGACATTCACACCAAGATTTCATTCTAGATTGAGATGACTGCTCACACTGACCAAACGAGCAAGAAGGATCTGCTCTGCAAAGTCTTTCCCATATTTCCAGAAGCTTGTGCTTCATTAGTAACTCTGAATATCCCTAGAAAACATGGGATTATTTCAAAGACTATGTCTGAATTGAGCAGTTAGTACCACTTCTACAATACTAAAAACCAAGATTAAAAATGGCTAATAAAGATGACATTAATTTGTATTATAAAATTTAGGATTATTTTGACTACTTGATTTGTCAGGAAGTTTTTTCCACAGTAATCAGTTTCTGTAACTCCTACGGATGGTCCATCTGCCTCCTCAATCAGTTTCTAGTTTTGAGAAACTGTCTGGCTTTTGCCAATAGGAATTACTTCTGCATACAGTCCTGCCTCCAGCTAATGTAAAGTGGCACAGTTCCCCCAACCCATCACTTTGGACCAGCTAAAACTGCAAAGTTTCACATGAGTACAACCTGCTGCTTATGTTGCCACCTAGTAAACACTG